GTACCAGGTTCTCGGAAGGGACCAGCTCAGACTCGTTTCAAAACAAGCGCACCTTGACTGGTTGGAATATAATTAGTATCTTAAGCATTCCTAAGGATTACATTTCAAAGCTTTTGCATTACTCACAGCAATTAAGATGCACCAAGTAAGTTTTATAGTTTTAGCTCTCTCTAATTAGTGATTTAAAAACACATATTTTACATTGTCTTGCCTTTCCATATGGCCAAATATATAAAGCACAACATTTTACTCCAAATAAAAGCTTTTTTAAAAACAATCAGTATGCCAAACGTAATGTTAAAGGAATTTATTTTTTTCCAAGAGAAGAACACAGAGATACAGTGACTTGACAGTCACTGTTACTGAAGCCCCATTCCACCGTGAAAAACATACAGTCTACAGTATCTTAAATAAATCATAATATAGCTTACATCTTTAATGCCTGATCACAGTGCCAGAGGAGTTCAAAGAGCCCTTACTAAAACCAGCAGTAGAATAGGACGGTTGCGCAAGCCACTGAAGTACCTACTTTGTAGCCAGAAGTAATTACGTTCATCTGCTAATCTCTGCTGGAGAAACTCAATCTAGCAGGCAGAGATCACGTCTACCGGGTAAGAGCTCCATGCAAGACACAGGGGCTGCTGCTTTTCCTGAAAACACAGCTAGAAGACAAAATAGCATTTTTGTGTGTGTGACGGTGCAACATACATGCATTACACCCTTTGGAATAAAAAAAAGTCAGTGTTGGGAATACATACCGATGATAAGGCATAACTGTATTTACTTCCTTCCTTTGCTTGAGAGAGTGCAAATCTACATCTTGAAATCACGCCACAACTATGAGGTTCTTGACTTTCACAAGCTCAGGAACCTCAGGTGTTACACATCTGTGTAACAATACCAATAATGGGTAAGAATCCATTATTATGAGGCCAGACACCCAGTTGCCTCTGTGGATCTCGCTTTTACTCCCCACTCTTCTTAAAATAATGATGGAATAAGACAGGATCTTGAACCTTCACCTGAACTATGCTATACATCTCACTTCAAAAGGCTATGAGTTAATGCTGCTGAGCTAGTTTAAATCAGTGCAAAATAATTCAGGTAGATAGCATTCGAGAGCGATAACCATGGGATGCAGATTTAAACCTGGAAGTGTGCGCAACAGAGCTTTTGTTTTGGAGTTTCACAGCACTAGATCCAAGTAAGCATGTGCAACCTGCAACTTCACGTAAAACAAATGACACTGTACAGTCCAAGCAACAGCAAAAGGTCTTACTGAAATGACTACTATCTACTTTCAAACCAGAGAGGAACTAAAGCACATCCCGGGGGGGGAGGGGGGAAGTAAGAAAAAATTATAACACAGACAGAACTATGTATCTTACTTTTATCTAATATCCTCAAACATCTAAACTGCTTGTCACAGCTTACCAAAATGACTGCAAGCCTGAGCTAGAAGGCTTACATTTTATTCAGGCGGTTACTGTTTGGGAAATTGTAAATCTTCTGTTCTCTATGGCTTTTAATGGAGCACGCTAAGCAGCCTTAAAAGTTGCTGCCAGCAAAGTCAGGAAGAAAATTGTCAGCCTTTGTACTACCACAAAAAAATATATATATACACACCAGTATCAATTATACCAAAACCTCAAATTGTAAGTGTGGAAAGTAATTTTGGAACATCAAGATGAGATAGTTGGAAGAATTTTACTGCTCCCTTTTTAGTTTTCATTATGGTCATACACTTCACCTTCTTGTATCTGGGGTTATTTTGCTTCTAACCCAAAAATCATTTGCGTGCATTAGCAAGGTGAAAAGATTCCAGTCGCTCCCAGAAGCTCCTATTCAGAAGTGTATTTGGTCCTCATTAATTTAAACCTCCAATCACCTCTAGAAAAAACAATTTAGAATACCTAGCTTTCTAAGTGCCCCAATGTAATAAAAAGTAATCATTATAGCATAATGATATAGCAGCATAAAATACTTAACATTTATTTTAAGCTGTCTACATTAGTGTTTTCTTGTAATCTTTTCATATATAAAGTTGTTTTACCCACTGCAATTCATCTACCGGGTCACATCTGTGTAACAATACCAAAGCCATACTCCAATAACATTTGTGCGTACTGAAAAACAGCAAAAGCCTTTTTCTGTCAATATTCTCATGTATGGGATAAGCACTTGCATCACTGTTGCCATCTGTATTACCTACACTCATGGGAGCATAAGGCAAAAAAGCCTGCTATGTAAAATGAAACTTCCACATCTTCCTTATGAAACACAATGGAAATCAGGATTTTTTTTTTTACAGTGAATTAATTGCACCATGTTCCTGCCTAATGTAACATTACTGCAATTACTGCAGGAGTGGATTTGACTATTTGTTAGCAAAAATGCCTAAGACTTACTAAATGCATCATTTAAACACATTGGTAGGAAAAAAAAAAATCAAGTGAGAATATTTCAAGATATCCTTCCATCTTCATGATTGAGCATTCTCCCTTTCTACAAGGTAAGAGGTTTGAATTTTTAAGACTAAAAATCTAATTTTTCAGAAACAAAATTCTGGACGCATTAACATTGCAGTGTTGTGACAGTTAAGAGCTGTAATGCATTAACCACGATGTTACCCATCCTGCTGCCCCCCATCCAACCTGCTCCTGTATACTGTTATACAACGATCCCTTGAAATCCCCTGATTTTATATTGTAACAACGATAAGGAAAGCATATTCTCTATTTTAGTGCAAGTCCTTTATGCATTACAAGGATTAAAGGCATTTCACTGCCTTTCTTCTGTCATCCTAATCGGGCTGACATTATTACATATAAGGTTCATCAGGTACTCCCTACCCTCTAATGATGTTATATCATGTCTAACACAGACATTAAACCGTATTTCTCAGGAAACAGAAAACAATGGCTACTTTCAAGCTAAGGCTACTTTCAAATGCTAACCTTAAGTAGCATAACAATCTATACTTCCAAACAGGAATTTTAGACGAAAACCTCATGCTATCACCAAGTAGAGGACAGCAAATTAGGAATATCTACTTTGGGTTTACCACCTTTTTGTTTCAATGGGTAGTTTTAGGTCCTATGTTAATTTATTATAGGTAACTTCAAAACACCAAGGGAAGGGAGATGATATTTGTAGAATTGGACAGTAGTTAAATTTATTTTCATATGTTTCTGAAAGAGTGCTTTGTGTTAACTTTCTTTGCCAAAATTAACGTTCCATGAAATAGAAGAGCAGTTCTCAAAAGAATACATCAGAACGATGGTCACTTTTCTACCTTGTAGCCAGGCGTACTTCATTTCTGGTTCCTGCTGCAAATTTCCTTAAAACACATCTCCTAATTATAAAACTTAAACACGTGAAGAAAGTCTTCCTTGCCACGTTTCCATATAGGCCTCTGTGGATTTCTCATACAGACCTCCCTCTAGGGCACAGTAATCCACAGGCACCGCTCTCGCGTTTTCCCTCAAGAGCTGAACTCTCTTCTGGAGCAAAACACTCAAGAACTCAAATAAGCAGCTAAGAAGAAAAACACTCCGTTTGGCAGCACCTTCGCAGTTACCTGCAAGCGTTAACAGCCTTTTTCATAACTACTTCACTGCAGAAGAGGAAACAGTAGGGAAGGTTTATCGAAACGCTGCATTGACAGAGCCTCCTGAAGACAGCGGCCCTGTGAAGCCCCAGC